TTTCGTTTTTGTTTTTTCTTTGCGTTCGTTTGTGTTGTATTTAGTTTTGTTCTGTTCCCAACTTGGTACATTTAAAAAAGATTTACCGTGTGTTGTGGTTGTGGTTGTGTTGTGGTTGTGTTGTGGTTGTGTTGTGGTTGTGTTGTGGTTGTGTTGTGGTTGTGGTTGTGGTTGTGTTGTGGTTGTTTTGTGGTTGTGTTGTGGTTGTGTTGTGGTTGTGGTTGTGTTTTGTTTGTGTTTGTGTTTGTGTTGTGTTTTTGTTTGTTTTGTTCTGTTCCAAAGTTGGTATATTTTAAAAAGATTTACCGTGGCGGAGCACGGGATGCAGCTAGTTCTTATATAACTTGGAATGTAGACATGATTTTTAATTACTTAAACTTTTAAAAATAGAATAGAATCTCATAGAAAAAAGAATTGTGCACCAAGCGAACGCCAAAACAAAATGTGCATAATAGTGCGCAATATTATTAGTACTTTATAAATTTACATGCGTTTTTTGAGAAATCGGAAGTAGCATAAAATTACTACTTCCGGTCAACAGAAATTACTCAAAATTTGAAACAAGGTAGAGAATTAGATCTTTTACTTACATGTGAAATTTCATTTATCTATCTGAAATAGTACTCAAGTTATAGGCTTTTGAAAAATTCAAAGTAGAAAAAGTACCACTTCCGGTTATCGGAAATCGCTCAAAAGTTGATACGGATCTAGGATTTTGATAAAATACTTATATATGAAATTTCATCAACCTGGCTGTAACGGTACGCAAGTTAGCGTGTTTACACACGGACACACAGACAGACAGACACACAGACATACGGACAAGATTGCAAAATTATGTTTTTCCGTATCAGTGAGGTGTAAAACGTCGAGATTTTTAAAAATCTCGATTTTTTTTTTGCACGATTACAAGACTTTCTCTATACTTCGTATATACGAGAAAGTCACAGTTTTTGCTAGGAAATAAACCGGGAGCGATCTCCCCTAAACTTTCTCGAATATTCTTATATAAAACAACAGGGGATGGGAACTCGGACTATAGACATGATTTTTAATCCATTTAAAATACGTAAAGTTTTAAAAATAGAATAAAATCTCGTGGACAAAAGAATTGCACACCAAGTGAACGCCAAATAAAAAAGTGCATAATAGTGCGCAATATTATTAGTACTTTAAAAATTTACATTAGTTTTTTGGACTGGATTGCAAAGCCCAGTTTTTCAGAATGGATTACGCATAAAACCTCTTAATTTTGATAAATCTGGATTGATAATTTTTTCCCGATTAAAATAAGTCCTCTATACTTCGGATGTGATGAAGGACTGAGGTGTAATACGGTGAAAATTGTTAAAATTTCAAGAGATTTTTTTGCACGATTACAATACTTTCTCTATACTTCGTATATACGAGAAAGTAAAAAAGTCACAGAAAAAAAGTCACAGTGGAAAAATGTTATCGAAAAAAAAGTCACAGAAATTAAGTCACAGAAAAAAAGTTACAAAAATCTTTTTAGAAATATTTTTATTAATTTGTTAAGAATTGTAATATTTTGTATGTTTATTGTTGTGGGTTGTATTTTTTATAGCATAAATTATTTATAGACGTTAAACGCATTATGATTTATAACAATTGAAAGTAAAAATACTCTAAGATAATTAACACAACAATCTCAACTTTTGTTACGTATTTAGTTAAATACGCGGTAGAAAAGTTAATTATAAAAGAAATTTAGACACATTTTGCCGTAGGCTATTCTCTGGTCGGCCTCTCCTCAGAAGCATTGTCCGAACATATTTTGTGTTGTTGACGTTATGCGTCAATGACAGCCTTTGAACCTTGTCGGCTTTCTGTTTTGATCCTAAGTTTTGTTATGTAATGAGCGTGATAAATGTGGGCAGTAAAGGTGGTTGAACTAAACATAACTATTGTTGCCATGAGTTGAGGGCAGCAAGTAAGATGAACTTACCATTTCACGGTAATTTAATGGTATTTAAAAAAACACGATGAAAACCGTGGACTTTGTCTTTGGAGCATTCTATTAAATGCTACTAATCTTAAGTTTAAAATAATTACAATCTACATACTTCATATTAAATATTTTAGATGAATTATAAAAATTCCTATGCGTGTACAGCCTACACACATTACATTACATTTAATTAATCCTAAGTTAATTTGCACTCTCTAAATATTTAATGCATACAAGTATTAACAAATATCATGCAAATATATATTTGTGACTTTTTTCCTGAGACTTTTTTTCCTGTGACTTTTTTCCTGTGACTTTTTTTTCCTACAATCAGTGATCCCAGTAAACTTTCTCATAAAGTATATGTTTAAATACAAAGAATCGAGTAGAAATAAATCGGGAGTGATCTCCCCTAAACTTTCTCGAATATTCTTATATAAAACAACAGGGGATGGGAACTCGGGCTATAGACATGATTTTTAATCCATTTTAAATACTTAAAGTTTTAAAAATAGAATAAAATCTCGTAGACAAATTAATTGCACACCAAGTGAACGCCAAATAAAAAAGTGCATAATAGTGCGCAATATTATTAGTATTTTAAAAATTTACATGTGTTTTTTGAGAAATCGGAAGTAGCGTAAATTACAACTTCCAGTCAACGGAAATGACTCAAAATTTAATAGAAGGTAGAGAATTACATCTTTTACTTACATATGAAATTTCGTTTATCTATCTGAAATAGTACTCAAGTTATAGGCTTTTGAAAAATTCAAAGTAGGAAAAGTACCACTTCCGGTTATTCGAAATCGCTCAAAAGTTGATACGGATCTACGATTTTGATAAAATACTTATATATGAAATTTTCATTGCTTTTAGTAGAGTGATCGCTTGCATTATTGTGATGTATAGTATTTATTTTCTACTTTTTAGTTCAATCAGAAAACGTGGGTTTTTTAAAACTTTTGTAATGATTATTATTTAAAAGTTTGAGTATTTAAAATGGATTAAAAATCATGTCTAGAAGTCTATATCCCGAGTTGCCATCCCCCGTGGTGTTATATTGGAATATTCGAGAAAGTTTAGGGGAGATCACTCCCGGTTTATTTTTAAAGTAAAGTACTTGTTTTGAGCTTTTATAATTGTTGTAGTGATTCTACAAATGACTATATAAATAAATGAATTATCGTCTTTAAATGAGCTTGTGAATAACATTGGGGGGGGGGGGGGGGGGAGAACATTTTTCTCAACATATTATAGTGCGGATGCTCTCGTCTAACGGACAAATAATTTTAAAAAACCCACAAATATACAAATTTGTAAACAACTTGAGTTTTACAATAATATAGACGGACAGAGGGACAGACATACAGACAGAGAGAGAGAGAGAGAGAGAGAGAGAGAGAGAGACGTGCGGCACCCCATGCGAATGGCTATCTCTGTTTCTGTCAATGATCTGATCACTGAGTAACTCTCTCTTTATAACTATTAACGCTTTATTATTGAGTTTCTCGAGAGAAATATCCAAGAGAGCGGTAGTTATCATTGACTCTGTCATGGATAATTTCACTGAGTCTTACATAGAAAATCGTGTTTGATCGGCTGAAATTGCAAACGTAAGCTTTTGCGATTCAGTTAGGTGTAAAACATCGAGATTTGTGAAAATCATCACGAATTCAATTTTTTTTTTGCACGATTACAATACTTTCTCGTTCTAAAAACAAGGTAATTAAAAAGTCTAGTGACAATTTTAGCGCAATTTCCTTATGTTATCTAAAAATAGCTCTGTCGTAGCGTAAATCAAGAGCAGGGTTAGTAAAACCATTGGTTAAAATACAAGTTTTATTTACAATAAAGTTACATGACTAAAAACCATTGCGCGCCTAGCTACCGAACGTGATGTTGCAGCCATTGAACGTGATGGCGCAGCTATTGAACGTGATGACGCGTGTGGTGTGGTTGGAAAAAATGCCTACTAATTCGGTCCAAATTTTAATTAACTCAAAAAAATTTTGTGACCGAACGAAAGGATATTTTTGAAAACTTTCTTCGGCAATATTGTTCTAAATTATGGCAGGAACCGATTGGTACATGTTTCAAGTCGCTAAGTGGTCTGGTTGCCAAGATATGGGCCAAAAACTGCTTTTTTTTTCGAGGTTTTTTGGCTTTTCCGGAAAATCCATGAAAGAAACCCGGATTTTTTTTTGGGCCTATGTTCATCCTCGTAACTTGCTTAACATAATTGCTTTGGAACTAGTCCTCGATATTGCTTCGTTGAGGAGGAGATACGACTTAAAGCTGCGGACACACATCCATCCATTCATACATCCAGAAATGACGGGTTAATAAACGCAATTCTCCAGAATGGAAATTGAGCTAAAAAGTTAATTTAAAAATTGCATTTTATAAGTTTCTATTAAGTGAATGTGGCAAAAGAATATGTCGAGATTTGTGTAGGTTTTTGGGTTTTAAACTTTAGCCATTACTTGTGTTTGGTTAATAAGGGCTACTAAAAATTGACTACACCATATTGATACATTTTCTTGGTTAGTGCTTTGTGAAAATATTTAATTATTATTTGGAAAAGTTCAGTGAAAATTGAATACAGTAGCGACCTCGAAGGCAGCGTTTGGTACATGCTGCGCGTAAATCAATAAATGTGGAGTTCACCTGAACCTGTGACCTCGGCAGATTTACTGGTTATGTGGTCAGCACCATGTGGTCAGCACCATGTGGTCAGCACCATGCCTAGCCATCTTTACTTCCGTAACTTTAGTACCCATCTGAGCTGGGTGGAAACGTTCTACGAGCTTGAACCCGGATGCAAATGTGTGAATTTCGGGTAGCAGTCGCATGCTCTTTCATTTCTTTAATCACGCGGTCGCACATAACGTATAAATAACCTTAACCAAAGACTACCAAACTCCATATTTTTTAAATAGGAGATTCAGTGAGTTGTGTTACTACTATTTGGTTATTGGGTTCATGGGACAATTTATACTTCTAGTTTTCAACACAATACACATTATGCACTTTAATCAAGCACCAACTTTATTTATATAATATGTTGACAATAAAATATTCACATATTAATTTGTTATTAAGTGTTTGAATGCAGTTTAATAATAACTATTGAAAATCAGCAATTCGGTTTAACGTAGATTTATTTACTCCTTGAAAATATGCCATTAAAAGGTAACTTTGAACTTGTAAAAACTGTGTTCTATTTGTCAAGCCTGATAGAGTAGAATTCACATGGGGAAAGAAAGAAAAAGTTTAAATTAAAATCATTTATGATTTCAGAAACATTCAGAAACGCTATGGTAGTGGTACATAATCAAGTAGGTGTTCATGGTAGGCTTGTAACACAACAGTATGTAACATGCAACAGAACTAAAATGACCAGAGACCTAGCCGAGGGGGAGAGGGTGGCAATGGAGAGGAAAATAAAATACTTAAACGCACATTATGAGCTGCACTATTGAATTGAATAGAGTCAAAGTTAAGAAAATAGACGGCTACACGTCTTAGGGGTCATCTATTTATCGAGTCCCTATTAAGGGACTACCAATAAAAACAACAACATGGACTACAGTATGTAAAATAATAAGATGGACTAACCTATGAACCATAACTTAATTACATTCTTTATCATCTCCCTTGATATGCTGGTCGAGTTTTACATTAGCCGAATCATCAGCTAGGTCCAGTGGAGGCAGTGCTAGCCCATCTTCCGTCTGTTCAAATAGAAATAATGTAGGGTTAGTCTTGCCGTCTCAGGATCAGCGTTTTTCTAATGTAAGGCAGGTAGTCCTACCCATCAAAGTGGGCTGACGTAAATCATCAAACTGGACATGGCTTAAGCCAGGTAACTTTCAAGGTGAAAAATATCATCTTATACTTAGCGGTATCGATAGCGCATTTTCATGTTCCGTCGTTTTATAGGAATTATGTCACCAAATTTAATACATTTTGTTTCTCAAAGAATTTTAATAATTAAACTGGAAAATAAGTAGATAATAAAAAGATAAAATAATAAATTAACTTTTTACTTTCTCGTATTGTAATCGTGCACAAAAATCACATGAAATTGTGACAGTTTTCATCGTTTTACACCTCAGTCCTTCATCACACCAGTAGTGTAGAGGACAAAAATTCAAAATCCAGATATATCAAAATTTTCGAGTTTTATGCGTAATCGAGTCGGAAAAACTGGACCTTGCAATTCTGTTCGTATGTCTGTGTGTGTGTATGTGTGTCTGTAAACAAGATAACTTGAGTACCGTTACAGCTAGGTTGATGAAATTTCATAAGTTTAATATCAAATTTGTAGTTCTGTAACAACTTTACAGCGATTTCCGATAATCGGAAATGGAATTTTTTTCTACTTTAAACTTTTCAAAAGCATATAACTTGGTTAGTGTTTCAGATAGATAAAAGAAATTTCATATATAACTAAAATATCTAATTCTCTGCATTCTCTCAAATTTTGATTAATTTCTGTTGATAGAAACTTACGCTATTTCCGATTCCTCAAAAAAAAAAACGCATATGAATTTATAAAGTACTAAAAATATAGAATTTTAAAGTATGTAAAGTATGGTTGATAGTTTGCTATGTAGTCATGGGGCACCTCTTGCTTTTCTAAACGTGGTACGGCATTTAATCTGCCCTGCATCGTCCACAAATAGTCACACAACCCCCTCTCCCATTCATAGCTTATCCTCATTGCTGCAAGACGTTTTCTCCAGACCTCGTATCCCCAACATTTGTAAAATGTTATTAGCACTGGACAGTGTGGTCTAGTATGTAGTACGCCCGTAAACAAAGCTTATATTTTGGTATCCGGCCTGGTGACCGTAGGTCATCCCACGACCGAATTGTCCCTCACGTTCAGAACCAGGTGGCAAGATGTCGCATTAAAACTGGAGGCGAAAGTAAGACAGAAACCTTCGTGTTTAGCGTCTGTCTACGTAGCTGTGTGAAATGCTCGATTCTTGATAACGTTGCTGTTTGTTTCGCGCCAACCATGTTCAGTTATCTAACGACATTCAAAGATTATCTCTTAACTGACATGCTTCCAATAAGTAAAAAACACTCACATATGTTTTTTTTTACTCAGCCAGTTTCTTATATTTTTACTATTACTATGACGTTTGAGTTAAATGACTGAATCTAGCCAGTGGTCTATTTTTACTTTCTCGTATATACGAAGTATAGAGAAAGTCTTGTTATTTAAATAATTTTTAATAGACCACTTTTAAATTAAATAATTAATACTAATAGTTTCGCTGTCTGTCTATCTGTCAAGAACGCTCTAGAGAAAAGACAAGCAAATTAAAAACATGCTTAGTAATTCGAAAAACGAAATATGACGTTACATTTAGCATAGAGAAACAAATAATCTCAAGCCGGAGAGTGCACACAGTAATATGACGTCATTGATTCTCGAGTAAACATTGAATAAAAAGGCAATTTTGTCTAATCTATCTACAAATGCGACCAGTGTTTCTTTCAGACTTTTCCTCCCCGGAGAGGGGTGGGGGTACTTGAAATTTTCGGGGGTGGGGGTAGAATTTTCTGGGAGGGGGCGGACACTGGAAAAAGTATATAATTATATTTCGTTGAATGGGACGGTAGGCATGTTTTGGAGTGTGTGGGGGGGGGGGGGGGGAGCGAAGCCCCCTCCTCCCAAGTAGAGTTGCCTGAAAGAAACTCTAAATGCGACTTTTGTCATGAATGAGATTAATTTCATGGTTTAGGGATATGCCTATGACTATATTTTGTATAAAGTTAAAGTACCGAGAAAATAGACAGCACTATCAACCTAGCGCCCGTTGTATCCTTCCTCAACGGGCCATTTTTCTCGTTAATACTAATAGTTTCGCTGTCTGTCTATCTATGTATCTGACAAGAACGCTCTAGAGAAAACACAAGCAAATTAAAAACATGCATAGTAATTCGAAAAACGAAATATGATGCCGTCACATTTAGCATAGAGTAAAAAATAAGAGTGCACACAGTAGTATGACGTCATTGATTCTCGAGTAAACATTGAATAAAAAGGCAATTTTGTCTAATCTAAGTGGTTTGCGTGAAGAGTTTCTTTCATACAATTCTTCGGGTAGGGGCGAAGCCCCACCCACGCGTTAGAACGTCTGAGCCCCCCCCTCCCCAACTCAAAAGAAATTTCTTCATCGATACTCTATAATAAAATTGCCGCCTAATTAATGTGTCTAATCTAAAAAGTGGTTTTCTTGCAATTTCTTTAATGCAATTCTTCGGGTAGTGGCTAAGCGCGACACCAGTGTTTCTTTCAGACTTTTTCCTCCCCGGAAGGGGGAACTTTTTCTAATCTAAAAAGTGTTTAGCGTGCAGTTTTTTTTTTCAAGCATCTCTTCCGGTAGGGGCGAAGCCCCGCCCAGATTCTTCCTTTAGTTTGTATGATCTAAAAATACGACCAGTGTTTCTTTCAGACCTTTTTCCTCCCCGGAGAGGGGTGGTGGTACTTAAAATTTTCGGGGGCGGGGTAGAATTTTCTGGGAGGGGGCGAACACTGGAAAAAGTATATAATTATATTTCGTTGAATGGGACGGTAGACATGTTTTGGTTTGTGTGTGTGGGGGGGGGGGGGGGGGGGGGTTGGGGGAGGGGGGCGAAGCCCCCTCCTCCCAAGTAGAGTTGTCTGAAAGAAACTCTAAATGCGACTTTTGTCATGAATGAGATTAGGTGCATGGTTTAGGGATATACCTATGACTATATTGTGTATAAATTAAAGTACCGAGAAAAGAGACAGCACTATTAACCTAGCGCCCCTTGTATCCTTCCTCGACGGGCCATTTTTCTCGTTTATTAATATCTTCGTAAATGCATTAAAAATACTTATTTTATAATGTTATAATTGTGCGCCTACGCAGAGTTATTTCCGATTTGTCTTTTTTCTATACTCTCGACGGGACCAATTTTTGTTTTCATTCTCTATAGGAATAGTTGTCCCCGCAATTTTTACACTACAACTGTCATATCTAGAGAACCGTTTAACCTATAAACATAAGTTTGGTATCACTTTTCAGCATTAAGTACCCTTAATACAACTATTTGGTTATTTTGCCATTATAAAATTTCGTGCAACTAGCTACACTATAGCATACTAAAACACTTTTCTCACGTAATATGACAAAATTAAGTGTATTTTTATAATTAGTCTAAATTTGTGCATTTATCTGTTTACGCAGTTTTCCTCCTTCATAAATTCATTTTTAACACGTTTTTATTAACTCAGCTTCGCGTGGATGTGTTTGTTGTTAAAATTGACATCGAAAATTAGCCCACTTCTGATTGCTCTATAGATCTGAAATTTGGCATGCAGGTTACTTTCGCCTAACAATTTCAGATGCAATCATAAAAACTAGCAATTAGAGACCGTAATTAGCTTAATTTAATTACGCCCAAAGGACCATAAAATTGAGGACATGATTTCTAAAGATACCGACAAGACTGGAGGCTTATAGACACAGTTACTTCGGCCCCAATCGATGTGAGCGCGCTGGCCGTGATCGTATAGTGGTTAGTACTTCGCGTTGTGGCCGCGACAACCCAGGTTCGAATCCTGGTCGCTCAAGATTTTTTTAGTCCGTGTATTTATATACACTTAGTCAAGTCATACTTAATCAAGTCATTAGATAAAGTAGAAAATAAACTATATAAAAAACTTTTTTAAAAACCACGTTTTTCATGTGTAGCAACGGACTAAAAAGGAGAAAATAAAATACTTAAAAAAAACTTTTTAAAAAACCACGTTTTTCTTGTGGACTAAAAAGTAGAAAATAACTATTTACATACATTTGATGACAAAAAACGTGGGTCGGGCAGATGGGTCGGGAAATTTGATGGTGAACCCACGTTTTTTGTCATCAAATGTATGTAAATAGTTATTTTCTACTTTTTAGTCCACAAGAAAAACGTGGTTTTTTAAAAAGTTTTTTTTAAGTATTTTTTTAAATTTTACAGCTGAAGCTCTTGATATCCGGGTCTACGACACTTGCCAGAATACAACAAGTACCAGAATTCACGTTTGACTGAATCCGACAACAACTCCACATATTCGGTCTAAAGTACATCCGGGCAAATGTCCAGTCAATCCATGAACCTATCTTTGACTTTGACCTAACATTTTCTGTAAATCTTTTGTGCTCATTAGGGTTTTGGTCAATTTCGATTCTACATTTGACGTGATTTATGTCATTTCTGGAGCCTTTCTAATTATTGTTGTAATTTATGATGCAGGCGGAATGTAATATCTGGAGCCTTTCTAGTTATTGTTGTAATTTATGATGCAGGTGAATATAATATCTGGAGCCTTTCTAATTATTGTTGTAATTTATGATGCAGGTGAATGTAATATCTGGAGCCTTTCTAATTATTGTTGTAATTTATGATGCAGGTGGAATGTAATATCTGGAGCCTTTCTAATTATTGTTGTAATTTATGATGCAGGTGGAATCTAATATCTGGAGCCTTTCTAATTATTGTTGTAATTTATGATGCAGGTGGATGTAATATCTGGAGCCTTTCTAATTATTGTTGTAATTTATGATGCAGGTGGAATCTAATATCTGGAGCCTTTCTAATTATTGTTGTAATTTATGATGCAGGTGGAATGTAATATCTGGAGCCTTTCTAATTATTGTTGTAATTTATGATGCAGGTGAATGTAATATCTGGAGCCTTTCTAATTATTGTTGTAATTTATGATGCAGGTGGAATCTAATATCTGGAGCCTTTCTAATTATTGTTGTAATTTATGATGCAGGTGAATGTAATATCTGGAGCCTTTCTAATTATTGTTGTAATTTATGATGCAGGTGGATGTAATATCTGGAGCCTTTCTAATTATTGTTGTAATTTATGATGCAGGTGGAATGTAATATCTGGAGCCTTTCTAATTATTGTTGTAATTTATGATGCAGGTGGATGTAATATCTGGAGCCTTTCTAATTATTGTTGTAATTTATGATGCAGGTGGAATGTAATATCTGGAGCCTTTCTAATTATTGTTGTAATTTATGATGCAGGTGGAATCTAATATCTGGAGCCTTTCTAATTATTGTTGTAATTTATGATGCAGGTGGATGTAATATCTGGAGCCTTTCTAATTATTGTTGTAATTTATGATGCAGGTGGAATGTAATATCTGGAGCCTTTCTAATTATTGTTGTAATTTATGATGCAGGTGAATGTAATATCTGGAGCCTTTCTAATTATTGTTGTAATTTATGATGCAGGTGGAATCTAATATCTGGAGCCTTTCTAATTATTGTTGTAATTTATGATGCAGGTGAATGTAATATCTGGAGCCTTTCTAATTATTGTTGTAATTTATGATGCAGGTGGATGTAATATCTGGAGCCTTTCTAATTATTGTTGTAATTTATGATGCAGGTGGAATCTAATATCTGGAGCCTTTCTAATTATTGTTATAATTTATGATGCAGGTGGATGTAATATCTGGAGCCTTTCTAATTATTGTTGTAATTTATGATGCAGGTGGAATGTAATATCTGTAGCCTTTCTAATTATTGTTGTAATTTATGATGCAGGTGGAATCTAATATCTGGAGCCTTTCTAATTATTGTTGTAATTTATGATGCAGGTGGATGTAATATCTGGAGCCTTTCTAATTATTGTTGTAATTTATGATGCAGGTGGAATGTAATATCTGGAGCATTTCTAATTATTGTTGTAATTTATGATGCAGGTGAATGTAATATCTGGAGCCTTTCTAATTATTGTTGTAATTTATGATGCAGGTGGAATCTAATATCTGGAGCCTTTCTAATTATTGTTGTAATTTATGATGCAGGTGAATGTAATATCTGGAGCCTTTCTAATTATTGTTGTAATTTATGATGCAGGTGGAATCTAATATCTGGAGCCTTTCTAATTATTGTTGTAATTTATGATGCAGGTGAATGTAATATCTGGAGCCTTTCTAATTATTGTTGTAATTTATGATGCAGGTGGATGTAATATCTGGAGCCTTTCTAATTATTGTTGTAATTTATGATGCAGGTGGATGTAATATCTGGAGCCTTTCTAATTATTGTTGTAATTAATGATGCAGGTGAATGTAATATCTGGAGCCTTTCTAATTATTGTTGTAATTTATGATGCAGGTGGAATGTAATATCTGGAGCCTTTCTAATTATTGTTGTAATTTATGATGCAGGTGGATGTAATATCTGGAGCCTTTCTAATTATTGTTGTAATTTATGATGCAGGTGGAATGTAATATCTGGAGCCTTTCTAATTATTGTTGTAATTTATGATGCAGGTGGATGTAATATCTGGAGCCTTTCTAATTATTGTTGTAATTTATGATGCAGGTGAATGTAATATCTGGAGCCTTTCTAATTATTGTTGTAATTTATGATGCAGGTGGAATGTAATATCTGGAGCCTTTCTAATTATTGTTGTAATTTATGATGCAGGTGGAATGTAATATCTGGAGCCTTTCTAATTATTGTTGTAATTTATGATGCAGGTGGATGTAATATCTGGAGCCTTTCTAATTATTGTTGTAATTTATGATGCAGGTGAATGTAATATCTGGAGCCTTTCTAATTATTGTTGTAATTTATGATGCAGGTGGATGTAATATCTGGAGCCTTTCTAATTATTGTTGTAATTTATGATGCAGGTGGAATGTAATATCTGGAGCTCACCTGTCTAATTGTTGTTGTTGTGTATGACGGAGGCGGAATGCCGATGGTACACATTTTCTCGTCAATGGGTATTGGAACCTTCTCGATTTCTCTGGTGATGATGACTTTGTTCTGTTTTCTTCGACGTCGGACACATAAACATATAACCATGACAGACAATAGGGATAGAACAACGAGGATTAAAATAAGAGTAATGATTAACCACAAGGGGTAACCGAAAGCTTCCATGTGTCTACTGATGTATTTCATCTTGTCCACGTCACTCGGACTCTCCTAAAAAGAGATACAAATGGGAGATGTTAGTCTTATTAAAGGTAAACCAACAGGGCTAGTATACGTTAATAAGTAGAAACGTTAGTTAGACTACATCAGAGGTCTGCAAACTTTTCAGCCCGAGGGCCGTAGTTTGGAGACCCCTGGACTACATGTTTCTCAACACTCTTACTTTAAAGCATACATACAACCCTACATTCTCACAGTAGGTGGAAAATGGATAAAACTTAACCCTAAGGAAATAAAGCGTGAGTAATCTCCCCTAAACTCCCCTAAACGTTGTTGTATATTTAGTAAGGAGGAAGGCGCTTCTAGTGAATATAAAACCTTACACTTGAATAACTCAAATTTTTAATGACCTCGAATATCCGGAAGTGATACTTTATTACATTTTCAGAATCTAAAATACAGATAACTTAAGTACTATTTCTGTTAGATAAACACAATTTTATAAAAAGGTATTGGATCTTATTCTCTTGATTTTGTAAAGTTTTGAGTAATTTGTTTTTTACCGGAACTAGTACTTTACGGTATTTCCGATTTCTCAAAACATGTCACTATCGTACATATTTGTTTCAAACTTTATACGTAGGTCAAGACTTAATGATAATGTATTGTGACATAAACTGTAAATTAATTAGAGGTTTAATTAAATTTTAAAAAGTAATTAATGGTTCTTTATAAAGTAATAATTTTCCGCTTCATTATGCACCATTGCTTATGTTATTTTGGTGCTCAATTCTTGTTTCTATGAAATTCTATTCTATTATTTAAAAATAAATATTCAAACTTTTATAGTAATGCAACCAGCGGCGGAACTACCATACCGTTAGACCAAGTCGTTAAGATGTCAAAAAACAACAGAAAATTATTTTTTTTCCCTCACATTGATAGACTAGTGGTTTTGTTTACAAAAAAACAAACAAAAAACAATCAGATCGACAACAGCAGTGATTGTTCTACGGTAGCTAATATACCTACACTGTTGCATAAAAAAACAACTTCCTGAGCCGTAGTGTGAAAGATAAGCAAAACTTCAAACTAACTCCATGACTTATCACTCCTTCTCAAATAGTCTAATAGGGGTGCTCAAAAGGCTTAATTTAATGATTTTGTAATAAGCAAATTAAAAAAAACCTAGATTTTAGCTAAAGTGTATCCTATTTTAAAATTGATAATAGTATTCAAGACGAATACAAAAATCAAATAGAAATTAAAACTATAGCCCAAGTAAAATAAAGCTTTATAATGCGTTAAACTTGTGAATGCGCAAAATGGGCTTCAATCGTAACTATGTTTTGGTCAGGGGCGGAACTACAGTGCCGCCAGACCCCGCAAAGCGGGGGGGGGGGGGCACGCCATTTAGGGGCCCAGAGCCAACCATAAGAAATTTTTTTATAGTTAAAAAAAAAGTAAATTTTCTTTCATTTTTGACTTGATGGTTGTTCTGTAAAAAAATTACCATAGCTGCGGTTGAATTATCTTTATTCTATAGACACCACCCCACGCTCTTGTATATTCTTTTTCCCTATCTTTTTAAACCACTGTGAAAGCCGAGTCTTTCTCCTACAATTAAACTTATCAAAGATAAGCAAATGTTCAAACCACTTCTATGACTTATTTCCCTTTTTAAAAAATAGTCAAATAGTGGAGATCATAAGCTCCTTTTTTAAATAGATTTGTACTAAACAAATTAAAAACCAATTACTTCTCTTAACTATTATTTTTTATAAGTAATTACTAAAGAATGGCATTGTGTAAATTGGAAATGTATTACATCAATAATATTTAAAAAATTAATAATATAAATACAAAAACAAAACATAAAAATAAACATAACACGAGACACCATTACTTATACAAAGCTTTCTTGTTTTATATTATTTTTGTTAAGATTGCTTCTATCAAAAATTAATTAAAACTGATTTTCACAAAACACACTAAAGCACTTACACACATGACATGATGTTGTAATTTTTTTAAATTGATGTTTTTCAAATCCCGAACAGACCAGCTATGAGTATCTTATGTTCGTATCTTGTGATTGTATATATATATATATATATATATATATATATATATATATATATATATATATATATATATATATATATATATATATATATATATATATATTATATATATATATGTATATGTATATATATATATATATATATATATATATATATATTTGTATATATATATATGTATATGTATATATATATATATATATATATATATATATATATATATATATATATATATATATATATATATATATATATATATATATATATATATATGTATATATATATATATATATATATATATATATATATATATATATATATATATATATATATATATATATATATATATATCATATATATATCATATATAGGCCTTTATATATATAAATGGGGTGGGGGTTAAAAAATTTTTTTTGCGGGGTGGTCCTTTTTATCTAGTTCCGCCACTGGTTTTGGTGATTATTTTTTGCGTATATAGGCTACGCGTAAATATATATAATAATACTCTACTATTTAAATAACTATATAGAAAAGAGGGGTCACTATATTATCTATTGGATACCTTTACTTATATTTAGGAAGAGACCCACACTTCTTTTTATTATTATTTAAATAGTAGTGTGTTGTTATATATTTAAAGAAACTCATTTGTTTTCTCCTTTTTGGTGCATTATTACATACGTGCTTGTTATTAAAACGGTTTTATGCATTTTTAAAAACTAATTTCCTATGTCGAGCTTTTGTCTACCTTTATGTTGTCATAGATTGCGTCTGCCGAGCGAAATTTCGAGCACTTGTAAGTGACCGATTCGTTTCAATCTTAGTGCCTGTGTCAGGACCCAAAAAATAATGCTTTCTGACATCAAATTTCACTTAACTTAATTTTTTTTAAATATCGATATTTTCCAAAATCTTGTCTGAACTCTGTCAAAACGGAGTATTTTAATCAATTCCTATTACAATTTATTAAAACAGTTTTCTAAAACGCGAAAAAAACGTCTAATATTCATTTTCTAACATAGCTTTTTTATAATGCAAAAGTGTGACGTCGCACCATCTGAACCCCCCTCCCCCTCATCACACACCGTCACAAAATTACGGACCCCCCCTCCCCCCTACGAGTGTGATGTCATTTATGGTCAACCCCTTTTAGCATAACTGTGTTTTTTCTATACAGCTATTAGTCATTGTATAACCTTGGTAGTCGCAAAACATTTAGCTCTACAAAGTTGTCAAGTTAGATAATTATGACATCCTCTCATTCAAATGTCAAATTGCATATCTATAGTTCTTTTTCATGGCATAGACTGAAAATATACATGGCTCCCCACACTCTCACGCTTTGCTTATTAATGGCGTTAGCCTTACCTGTAGTGAAGCTTTAACTGGTAATTCATTTTTCACCTCTGCTATTTCGTTGTCGCCTTGATTGCTCGCAGTCTCATGGGGAAGCTGTTGACCTTATTTTGAAAATAAATAATGTTCCAAACTGAAAAAAACTCAATACAATAAACGTAGGTAAATATTTACCTAAATAAACACATCCTCACACAATTTCAAGAACGTTAGTCTGAGTAAAGACGATCAGCACGTACAGATGTACTTAACGAACATATACTTAAATAACAGATTATGCAAATATTTGCCTTTAAATATACCAACTTAATAGCGCAAAATAAATAAATATGGCTGATTAATTAAGAATAAAGTATATGTTAAATTTCGTCCACCTAACTGAAACAGTAAGTACCACTCAGGTCACCGGAAATCGCAAAAAATTGAGGTAAAACTACAGCATTGGTATGATACATATTAATTTTATTCAACAGAACTGAAATTTATAACGGAAGATAACGTGTTCACAAAGAGACGCGCACACAAACACACACACACACTCATCCAGAGAGAGAATGAGAGAGAGAGAATGAGAGAGAGAAAGAGAGAGATAGAGAGAAATGTTTGCAAAACTAAGTTTATTCAAATAATGGATTAGTCAGAATCTCTGTTTCGATTTTTAATATAATTCGAGATTGTTCATTGGCATCTTCTAATATTACATTTTGAAATCATATCTTGTTAGTTTGAAATTTGAATTCTTTTAAAATGCAAAATTCTCAGTTTGAAAATAATAAATTGCTCTTATTAACCCAGTAATATGTCGTAAAAAAAAGTATTCATCACATCAATACAAGTACTGCAAACTACTCCTAAATTAACTTTTTGAACGCACTTACCCGAATCTCAAAACTTATGTTTGACTAACATTAACCCTAACCTCAAGACGTGTCTTTGACTAGAACTAACCCTTGGTTGCCTGTATTTCCTGAGAAGGATGACCGAGTACACCTGACCTCAATGTATGCGTGTCTGTAACAGTACCTCCCTGTCCTGACGTCATTTCTTTTTCTGAAAAAAATCGAGTTGCTATTTTGTGTGGCTTGACTATAAGCCTAATCTTAAAATAATATCAAATAATAAGAACATAATTGACTGTTTATAATGTAATGGAAAAATCAATTACTTTGTAAAAGTAGGTTTCAGCACGAGCAAAGTTTTTAAAAAAATTGGTAATTATCATATTTTACGGTTGATACGTCAAAATTGGAGCGAGTATGACTTCAGATGTAGGTCTACTTCGCGCGTTCATTAGTCAAAAGCTACCAATTTAAACTATTGACAAGGTTACTGCATCTCTAATAAACTATTATCTACTTCATTCCGTTTTACTGCCATAAGGTATTTTTTCTTCTAATAATTATTAAAAAATTATATGTTTCAAAATTACATCAGTTTCAAAATTTAATAATTAATTGTAAATAAAGTTAAAAAAAAAACATTAAAAGACTAAAAATAAATAATGGAAACCAGAACGAGTAGCACGCGAGCAAATGTTAAATACAACTTTGCCACATTTTCACGATTTTCTTTATAGTTAACTAAATAGTAGTGTATTATTATGTATTTAAAGAAAATCATTTATTTTCTACCTGTAAGTGCATTATTACATGAACGTTTGTTATTAAAACGGTTTTTATGATTGTTTTTAGTGCTCTAAATTTTTTTAAAATTGACACTACAGTTGCATGGCTTCATGTTTCGACCCATGTTCCAACTTTGAAACGAATCTGTCAGTTAGAAGTGCCCGAAATTTCGCTCGGTAGTTTCGATCTAGACAAAAGTACTGACGACAGAATGACGACAGATAAACAGAGCTGTCGACAGACAGAGGAAGCAAGTTAAATATAAGCTTGTAAAAATTGAGTAAATTCATAAAGTGTACAGGTATAAATTTAACTGATATAGATACGGATACGGATATGGATATGGATATGGATACGGAAACGGAAACGGATACAGATACAGATACAGATACGGATACGGATACGGATAGAGATAGAGATGATAGAGATGGCGATAGAAAGTGATAGTGATAGAGATAGAGATAGAGATAGAGATAGAGATAGAGATAGAGATAGAGATAGAGATAGAGATAGAGATAGAGATAGAGATAGAGATAGAGATAGAGATAGAGATAGAGATAGAGATAGAGATAGAGATAGAGATAGAGATAGAGATAGAGATAGAGATAGAGATAGAGATAGAGATAGAGAAAGAGAAAGAGATAGAGATAGATATTTATACGAGATAGATATTTATACGAGATAGATATACGAGATAGATATGCGAGATAGATATGCGAGATATATATACAAGTTAGCTACAGCTAGACTGACCTGTTGACGTGATCCTTTCACAGACCATTGACATCGTCCTCAATAGCGATTGCAGCATTCGACGTGTTGTCTCGACTGTTTGTACCCCACATACTTTCTCCAACTCCACGATGCATGTCACAACGACTTTACTGTCTCTGAAAGAAATGAAGCGGGAGTCAACCATAGAGAAAGTCACCTCATAATTTGCATAAGTACTCTTCACCTCGCCATTATACGTACATTTTTTAGTGTTCATGGGGTAGGCCATTGTTTTTTACCCAATCAACTCTATAGGCTTGAGCTGGTTCCAAATGGTTGTTGCCAAAAAGTATTTTTCAACCAAAATTGAATATTTTATAACATTTGTGAGATAAAAATAAAATCATTTACGGGTTTATTAAGGCTAGAAATATTCCCAAAAAGTTACTATAAGTATAATAATAATAATATAGATAACACTTTTTGTTTTATTTGGATTATTAGAGTCGGTATCAACTTTTGAGCAATTTTCGATAACAGGAAGTGGAACTTTTTTACTTTGAATTTTTCAAAAGCCTATAACTTGAGTACTATTTCAGATAAATAAATGAAATTTCACAAGTAAATAAAATATTTAATTCTCTGCCTTCTGTCAAATTTTGAGTAATTTCCGTTGACCGAAAGTAGTAACTTACGCTATTTCCGATTTCTCAAAAAAAAAGCATGTGAATTTATAAAGTACTAATAATATTCCGCACTATTAAACACATATTGTTTGCCGTTCACTTGGTGCGCAATTCATTTTTCTACGAGATTCTATTCTATTTTTAAAAGTTTAAGTAATTAAAATTGGATTTAAAATATTGTCTATATCCCGAGTTGCCATCCCACGTAGTGTTATATAAGTATTTTCGAGAATTGATAAAATAAAACTAAATAAAATAAATCTAAAATTACATTTATCCTCAATACAAAAATATGAGTGCAATCGATGGTTCCCAAACGGCTTAATGATTTTAGTTATGTAACTATAATTTTTTTCACTAAACAAATATTTTAAAGAATTTATTTTTATTGAGTAATTATTCTATAGATTCTGAACCACTTTTCAAGCCAAAAGTTTTTTACCCACTGATTTTATTTTTAAGTGCTAATGTTACAAACCAATTAGGCCTAATCTCACCCTTAAGACTTCACTGGTATTCAAGATTATAGATCAATAAACTTAAAAAAAAAGGTTGCGCACACATTATTATCTTCTTGACACAGACCTTTTGCTCTCACAAATGCATTAAACTTGACACCTAGACAACAACCCATCTCGACACCTGGGGCTATTTTTCAAAGTTGCGCCCCATCATATATATATACATATATAAATACTAGCTGCATCCCGTGCTCCGTCACGGTAAATCTTTTTAAAATATACCAACTTTGGAACAGAACAAAACAAACAAAAACACAACACAAACACAAACACAAACAAAACACAACCACAACAACAACACAACCACAACACAACCACAAAACAACCACAACACAACCACAACCACAACACAACCACAACACAACCACAACACAACCACAACACAACCACAACCACAACACACGGTAAATCTTTTTTAAATGTACCAAGTTGGGAACAGAACAAAACTAAATACAACACAAACGAACGCAAAGAAAAAACAAAAACGAAAAAACAAACACAACACTCGACATAAACTCAATTTAAATGTAATCATAAAGGCATATTGCTCACAGTCTATCCCGTAGCGCCAAATCGCGCCCTTTCCGAGCGCCGGCGGAAAATTTCGATTTACACCCTCCCACCTCCCTCAAACTTTCGATTTCCAACCCCCCTCTTGCTACGCCTCTGTTATAAAACCCCTAGCTTTTCCGCAAATAAATTAAAGGCAGTATTTAGAATATCCGTGTTTTACAGACCATATTGCACTTTATAAATTCATGCATTTTTTTCAGTACTTTTAAAAATTTACAATAAAGTTTCATGACTAAAACCATTGCGCACCTAATGAACGTGATGACTTAATATAGTAATGGAGAATAGTTGATTAAAAATTATAATTAGTAAACAGTACATTCAGTGAATAAAATAAATAAAAGATAACCTTTTATCAATCAATGCTAATAATAATATTCCAACAATAATGTACTCTTACACGTCTGCATAATTTGCATTCACATTTTGCTAATTATATTATTCCAACAATTATTCCGTCTTGCAGATTTTGCATTCACATTTTTAGCGTGAGTTCAATTTATCTTTGAATTACCTCCATTGGCAAAATTACTGAGCAGTTTAGCTGCATCCCGTGCTCCGCTACGGTAAATCTTTTTTAAATGTACCAACTTGGGAACAGGACAAAACTAAACACAAAACAAACGAACGCAAAAAAAAAACACAAACGAAAAAACAAACACAACACTCATAACATAAACACAATTTAAATGCAATCATAAAGGCATATTGCTCACAGTCTAGCCCGTAGCGCCAAATCGCGCCCTTTCCGGTGATTTGCACCCCCCTCAAACTTTCGATTTGCACCCCTGTCCCCCCCTCCCCCGCCCTAAAACTTTCGATTTCCACCACCCCCCCTCGCAAATTTTTTCCAACCCACTTTGGCGCCCCCTAAGGTTGGCACCCGGGGACATATGCCCCCCCCCCTAGCTACGCCTCTCCTATAAAACCTCTAGCTTGTCCGCAAACCGAAAGATCTAATATATAAAGCTCAGTTCTGTATGTAACGCATATGTTTGTCATTGGTCTTGGATGGATTTAAGTGTTAAACAATTATCGTGTGCATTTGTCTAAATTTATGAGTTAAAAAATTACTATTGAAAGTGTTGGGAAATAATTATCATTTTTCAAATTAAAGTAATAATTGTCGGCATGTTCATTAAACACAAGTTTTAAAAAAATATCATCTTTTACAAAAATTCTAATTATGTCTTTATTTAGTCCTATAGCACTTACTTCCCTTTGATAAATTAGGAAAACACAATTACTTCCCTTTATAAAACCATTGCATTAGTGGAAAATAATTTACTTTTTATTACTTTGTTTTGGTGTTGGGAAAAAAAATAATTACATAATTAGCGGGGATTGATCAAGTGCAAATGTTGTAGGTATTTTACGGATAAGCTTGGAGTATTAAAATTGTTCATTAAATTGAAACAGGCGCGTTCCTTTAAGTGAGTGCAAAAGACTATGAATAAGTTGGGGTACTATAGTCGTTCATTAAGCTAAAACAGGTGATTCCGCCCCGGGCGTTTATGTTCGCGTTAGTGTTTTCTTTGTGTTTAGATGGGTTTGCGTTAGTGGTTGCGTTTTTGATTTGGTTCGTTTTTGTTCTTTCTTTTTTCGTTTTTGTTTGTGTTTTTTTTTTTGTTTGGGTTTGTATTTGTGTTTTTAGTTGGTTTTGCGTTTGGATTTGGTTTGTTTTCGTTTGCTTTTTCGTTGTTGTTTTTTTGTTGGTATTGGTGTTTGTGGTTGGGTTTGTTGTTAGGTTTTTGTTTTCGTTTGCTTTTTTGTTTATTTTTTCTTTGTGTTTGTTTTGGTGTTTGTGGTTGTGTTTGTTGTTAGGTTTTTGTTTTCGTTTGTATTTGTAATTGTGTTAGCGTTATGTTTGCGTTTTGTTGTTTTGGTTGGTTGTGGTTTGGGTGGGCAATGCCGGGTTTATGATGATTACTAAACACACAGGTAATGGTCTTTAACAGAAGGGTTTTTCACAGAAGCCAGAGCAGGGCCTGGCCGGGACGGCTAGTAGAATAATAATTAGTAAACAGTATAAATAATAGGCAGTATTTAAAATATCCGTGTTTTACCTACAATATTTCACTTTATCCATTCACGCATTTTTTCCCAGTACTTTAAATTTTAAAAACTTACAATAGAGTTTCATAACTAAAACCATTGCGCACCTAATGAACGTGATGACGCGTCTATAATAGCGCTGAATAGATGATTAAAAATTATAAGTAATAAACAGTAGAGCCTACATTTAGTGAATAAAATAAATAAAAGATTGCCTTTTATCAATCCATGCTAATTATAATTTTCTAACAATAATTTCCTCTTACACGTCCGAATAATTTGCATTCACATTTTGCTAATTATATTATTGCAACACTAATTCCTTCTATAACGAACTTATATTTGCATTCACATTTTTTATTAGCGTGAGTTCAATGTATTTTTAAATTACCTCCTTTGTCAAAATTAGAAAAAAGAGTTAAATTAATTTGATTTTTCTACCGTACTGTTATTATGTTATTGAAATGTATCCACTTTTTCTGGGAATATAAACGAAAATGATATTTGACATTAATACTTTTAATATGTTTTAGCAGTGTGCGTGTATATAATATTCTCTTTACGTTATGCAAAAAAGTAAAAACAGTGGCAGTTATAAAATAGCTCTATGTCGTTATATAAACAAACCCTATTCTATTACTTATCATAAGACTCTGCGGTGCACTGAAAAGCACAGCATGGTGCGTACTTTACTTTTATAGTCCCAAAATCTATAGCAATGACGGACGGACGGAAGGAAGGAAGGAAGGACAGACACAGCCCGCTTATATTATAGATATGCAATCAAGCAAAAGAATATGGTATCTCACGATGAAGTTGAGAGAATCATAAGAATCGTACAAAGAACTAGTCGCATCGTTTCTTTAAACAAAAATGGCAGTAAAATCATACATTACGCGTTAATATAATTGGTTTCTATTTTACGTGTTGAATGATTCATCTTCTCACCCGCTGTAAATCCTTTATATTTACCTTGGGGAAAAAAGTTCCCCACCCACTACCTTTTTTCTTTTTTTATTGTTACACAATACGCTTTAATACAATTAATTTCTTTTCTCATATTTAAAATGATCTACTCACCAATCCAGTAAAATACCTTGCGGGTTATTTTGGCGCTCCCCTCCCCTTCCTACCCACCATCTTGGACATAGCTTGTAGAGCGGGTTTTATTAGTTTTAACGTCACTAACTCTTTTTCTAATGTTACACAATATTACTATACGCTTTAGTCTATTTCGTTTCTTTTCTAACTGAAAAAAGTTATATACTCACCAATCTAGTGTAAATCCTTGCGATTTTAGATAAAGTTGGAAAGCGGTTTTTGCTGTTTCTTAAAAGTATATGTTTTACAGCTACACAATCAATTTAGAAAACAGTTAAATCAGTATGCAAAGGCTCGTAGCCGTTGATTTTTCTTAACTTTGACTGTTTATAATTCAAAACTGCAGCTTAAAATGAATGATTAAATATTGTTCTACCCATTTTGAGCCCCAACCCCACTAGGATCGGCTCACGTGTCGCCCCCCCCCCCCCCCGCCCTACAGACACAAAGATCTTGACCGTCATGCAAACATTTAGAACCTGCATTTACAAACACATAAACCCGTGCGCTTACAGACACAAAGACCTTGAACTTACAGACACAAAGACCTTGAACTTACAGACACAAAGACCTTGAACTTACAGACACAAAGACCTTGAACTTACAGACAAATTGACCTAGACTTGTCGATAAACTCTGGGTTCATAAATTGTTGTAAAACAATTCCGTAACTGTGCAAACATTCGTTTATCTTCGGCTCTAGACTTAACTGGCACTTTTGAATTTGTTCTTGAACTGAAGCTGACCCTGGCATTTCTGGCTGGTTCATCTCATTCTTTTGGGAATCGGGATCTAAAGAGTAAATAAATTATTCATTAAATTATAACTAATTATTCATTGATGGAAATATATTATCTGCGAACTCTCTCGAAAAAAGTTCTAATCGAAAATCAGCTAAAAGTTGTTACCAGCTTGTCCACTGCTTTGAATCTGTTTGCAGTACATATTTAGTGTGTTGATAACAGCCATAAGTCTTGGTCGTGTAACAGACACGGGTAACTGTGCACAAGCCGTTTCGTGTCGCATGATACATTCATCCAATTGCGTATTGTCACTGAGGATGAGACAGTTTTGGCTTTTAGCTACAGAGATAGGGTTAGGGATAGGGTTAGGGATAGGGATAGGGTTAGGGATAGGGATAGGGTTAGGGATAGGGTTAGGGATAGGGATAGGGATAGGGTTAGGGATAGGGTTAAGGATAGGGATAGGGTTAGGGATAGGGTTAGGGATAGCCTTGTCGTGTTGCTTAATACATTTTTCAAATTCCTCCTTTTTACAAGCTTGTATTTAACTTGCTTCCTTTGTCTTTCGTCAGTCTGTCTGTCGTAAGTCTGACTATCTGTCGTCATAGATCGAAACGGGCGATCAAAATTTCTAGCTTTTCTGACAGATTTATTTCAAAGTTGGCACGTTGGTCAAGACTCGAAGACAAATAATATGACATAAAATTTGACTTAATTAGATGACTAATTATTTTTTTTTCTGAATTAATTAAAAATTTCTTAAATCAATAGTCTAATTCAATTATTCCGCACTATTAAACGCGCGTTATCATGTTCATTAGGTGCGCAATAGTTGCAGCTCGAGTTTATTAAAAAAAAATTAAAGTACCGAAAATAATGAATTAAAATAATTGCATAAAAACGTTTTAACAACAAGCTTTTATGTAATATAGCTATAAAGAGGAGAAAATAAATGATTTCCTTTAAATATATTATAATACTCTACTATTTAAATAACTATTAAGAAAATCGTAGGTCGCTTCCTAAATATTGGTAAAAGTATCTAAAATAGTAGTTTTGCGATCTATCTACTTGTCTGTCTGTCTGTCTGTCTGTCTGTCTGTCTGTCTGTCTGTCTGTCTGTCTGTCTGTCCGTCTGTCCGTCTGTCCGTCTGTCCGTCTGTCCGTCTGTCCGTCTGTCCGTCTGTCCGTCTGTCCGTCTGTCCGTCCATCCATTTATCATATATCCATCCATCCATTCATTTTAGCGGCATACTTTGCTATACCCTCTCTAAATGTAAAAATCCTTGTGTGTCGTATAATGCGCATCAAACACACAAAAGAACTTCACTGTTTACCTTTGACGTAGTTGCTGTATGTAAATCAGCCACGGATCAAATATCAGTTATTAAAATTATTTCATTTTCACACCTATGTTAAAACCGTAGGCCTGCATTATAAATTTTTCTTATATCCACTTTTCATTACAGTTGGTTTTGTGGGTTTTTTCTTTCTTTTTTAAGGCATTTTTTTATCCAAATGTTTTCTACGTTCATTTTTTGGTGTGGTTAAAAAAAAAGGGGGGGGGGGGAGAGAATTAAAAGTTTAAATTCCTGACGCTGTTGTGTCCCTTTAATAATTAAAATTGAGGGGTGAAAGGTTAATTTTTTAATCCCTTAATATGACATTTCTGAGAATCTGTTATTTTTCCAGGTGCTTACGGCACCAGAGTTATCTCCTTACCAAATATCAATTTTTATCATCTGCAAGTTGTCGATCTAATTCGAGCACTTTAAAAAATGTATAGCCAGTCAGTCTAGGTTAGGTGTTGGTCACTTTAAACTCGATTATTGAAATAACTTTAATTATCCCGTTAAAATGAGAGTGAACAGCAAACTTTGTCATTTTTCCTGCAACTCACCTGCAAGTTCCTCATCCAATAGGTGAAACAAATAAACAACCCTTACTCTGCTTTTATAGAAATAAATTACTCAGAGCGATTTCAAAGACTTCCTCCATACTCAGTATACGAGAATGAAAAATACGGATTTTTTATCCATGTCAACAAGAATAACGGACGAATTCTCATCAGCTCTTTCTTGTCCATTTAACATTGAGACATTTTAAAGAGCAAATATGACTATTTTAATTTTTTTTTAATGCAAAAAGACAGACGTCATACCGACACATGTGACGAGCCTTATCTAGGTTGGCAGGGGCGAAGACGTCTGTGATGGTCAGACCACTAAACGTCAAACACTCATTGACCTTTGTTTCTAGAAGGAGCAGACACTGCTGCATCTCTTGGTGTGTTGCTGGAGTTCTCTGTTCAGATGGTAAGTTAGCCGATGGGCCGTTCTTTTCTGGAATAAGCATAGTACAATCAGTCATAAATGAACAACCCATTAAAATAGCGGGTGACCCTTAAATTTAAAAACATACCATTGCTCATACAATAAAAAATAATATAAAAATAAGTTCACACATAGGCATTATAACAGTTCGACCGGACCTCCAAGAAGTGTACTTTCGTTTGGATGGAGTTCTCTTTCTTCTACAAACACTCGCTATCGCCGGCAAAAATTCTTAGAAAAAACAACAAAGTCCACGGCATGAAAGGCCGCTAGATATGTAGAGGGCTCTCATGCTGTATGGTACTTCTTTGTAGTGTTGGTTAGGGGCTCAAAATACATAGTACGTTTTTCAATGTAAATCACCCAAATGTGTGTTTGTCATATTGGTAAAACTTCTATCCTGTATTAAAATAGTAGCTTGTGACTCCCAAGAGAACTCCCCCTCCCCCACCTCCAATGCCCCCAACACTTGGGCCCTCGCCGAGGGTTGATTAGCATAAACCAGAGGAGTAGCTAGGGGGCGGCCGCGGACCCTAAGGGGGCGCCAAAAGTGGTAGAAAATAATGTAAAGCTCATTTTAAGCTGCAGCTGAATTATAAACAGTCAAAGTTAAGAAATGCAATGGCTACAAACCTTTACATACTGATTTAACTATTTTCTTCTGAAGGATTTACACTTGATTGGTGAGTAGAAAATCAATTGTACCAATGCACTAATGTACGATTGTGAAAATTTTTAAAAAAGGTTACTGACGTTAAAATCAGTTTTATCAACTTTGTAGCTTTTTCCAAGATGGTAGCAAGGGGGGAGGGGGGGGCGCTTTTTCGCCAATAAAAATCGCAATGATTTGGACTGGATTATTGTGAAGATAACTCTTATAACGCTTAAAAAAGAAACCGATTCTATTAAAATTGTGCAACACTAAAATAACTTAAAAGGTGTTGGGACGGGCACTTTTTCGCCAAAGTAAATGGGAAGGATTTACACCGGAACGGTGAGTAGATTAATCACTCTAATACTTAGGTGCAATGGCATATCGGAATTCGCAACTAGATCAGCAAAAATTGCCATTACAATTGAAGCATATATTCATACTCTCTATATCTTTTGACTAAGCTACACTCGCTAATGCACCAAGTATAAATAAGTGCCACCCAGATCTAAAATATTCTCAAATATCTGCTTAAGTCTGTGTTTACCTTGTTTATTTTGAGAGGTCATCTGTACAGGTTCCTCTTTAACTGGCTCCTCTTTAACTGGCTCTGAATTTTTCTTGTCAGCTCTGGCTTGTGAATGACTTCCTCCTAAAATTGACAATTTAACTGACCATTTAATTGACTATTAGCTGACCATTTAACTGACCAAACATAATCTTAAATTAAAATTTAAATTGAAACTTCAAAAATCAATTCAATTATCTGCCCTTTCATTTGTACTGACCATTTAACGGGCCATTCATCTGGATGTGTTGACAGACCACACCCATCATTCGTAAGACGGATGAAATCATTTTTCTTGCAGTCAGTACCGCAGCTTGTCCACAAGCTTTGTCTAGATTTGTGATACACTGACCCACCACATGACCTTCCCTTAAATATAAAATTATACACGTGTGTTTTTGTGCAAGACTTATCAGAGATTAAAATATCTTCAATACAATATATCTTTTTTTAATCTGCATGAAAGTATGTTAAAGAAACTTTTATTAACCCAAAACAATTTAGTTAAATTTAAAATATTTCATCTTCAAGGTGTTGAGTTCTCAAAAAAAAAATATTTCCTAATTAAAAATGGTTTTACATTAGCTTATGTGTATCTATGTTAGGGTACTAAACATAAACGCTATCATATAACGAAATATTTTTAAAACAAGGTAATTCAAAAGTCTAGTGACAATTTTAGCGCAATTTCCTTATGTTATCTAAAAATAGCTCTGTCGTAGCGTAAATCAAGAGCAGTGTTAGTAAAACCATTGGTTAGTTATTAAAACGTTTTTTATTTTAAAAAAATTTCAGTATTTTACATGTTTTATTTACAATAGAGTTACATGACTAAAAACCATTGCACGCCTAGCTACCGAACGTGATGGCGCAGCCATTGAACGTGATGGCGCAGCTATTGAACGTGATGACGCGTGTGGTGTGGTTGGATAAACGTGCCTACTAATTCGGTCCAAATTTTAATTAACTCAAAAAAATGTTTGTGACCGAACGAAAGGATATGTTTGAAAACTTTCTTCGGTAATATTGTTCTAAATTATGGCAGGAATCGATTGGTAAATGTTTCAAATCGCTAAGTGGTCTGGTTGCCGAGATATGGGCCAAAAACTGCATTTTTTCGAGGTTTTTTGGCTTTTCCGGGAAATCCATGAAAGAAACCCGGATTTTTTATGGCCTATGTTCATCCTTGTAACTTGCTTAACATAATTGCTTTGAAACTAGTCCTCGATATTGCTTCGTTGAAGAGGAGATACGACTTAAAACTGCGGACACACATCCATTCATTCATACATTCATACATCCAGAAATGACGGGTTAATAAACGCAATTCTCCAGAATGAAAATTGCGCTAAAAATGGTTACAATTGGAAAGGCGGCCATATTGAAAAACAAACAAAAACCTCTAAAATGTAGCTTATACAAACATAGCTGCTTATTGTACAAAATATATTAAACAAATAATAGGCTTGAAAGCTGGTTCCAAATAGTTGGTGCCACAAAGCATATTTTTCATCCAAAACTGAATATTTGATAACATTTGTGAAGTAAGTACAAAACGACTTACGGTTTATTCAAACAAATAATAACTAGTAATTTAACAGTAATTTACCTTTTTTTTTATTTTAGATAAGTAGACTCAGAGTGTTGTGGTGATAGGGAATATTATGTTTTTAATATAAATAAACCCTAGGTTATACCCCGTGGACTGCTATTGTGTTTTATCAAGGAAAACAATTATTGTGATTTTTATTGTTTCACTTTCCCTGGCCAATCCTTGTGACTTCAAGGTGGGGTTAAGGGCGGTTTTTTTTAAATATTTGAATTGATAAAATAATGCAAATGCCTTTTCGGCTGCTTATATTCAATACAAAAAATATAAAAATGAGTGTAATTGATTGTTCCCAAGAAGCTTTAATTTTTTTAAAAATTGTATCGCTTGTCATATTTTTTTGAAGATTAAAAAAAAAAACGGGAGTGATATTCCCTAAACTTTCTCTATATTCTTATATAATTCTACGGGGGATGGCACCTCGGGATTTAGACATGACTTTTAATCCATTTTTAATTACTTAAACTTTAAAAAAAAAAAGATTAAAATCTCGATGAAAAAAGGATTGCGCACCAAGTGAACGCCAAACAATCTGTGTATAATAGTGAGAATATTATTAGTACTTTATAAATTCACATTCGTTTTTTTAGAAATCAGAAGTAGCGTAAATTACTACTTCCTGTTAACGGAAATTACTCAAAATTTGATAGAAGGCAGAGGATTAAATCTTTTACTTACATGTGTAATTTCGTTTTTCTATCTGAAACAGTAATCAGCTCAGCTTATATGCTTTGGATAAACCAAAAGTAGAATAAGTTCCACTTCCGGTTAACGGAAATCGCTGAAAAGTTAATAAACAACTAAAAATTGATATAATACTTGTATATAAAATTTCATTAACCTAGCTGTAACGGTACTCAAGCTATCGTGTTTACACACACACACTCGTACACACACAGACATACAGACAGAATTGCAAAGCTCAGTTTTTCCGACTCAATTACGCATAGAACTCTGAAATTTGGAGAAATCTGCATTTATTATTTTCCCGATTAAAATAAGTCCCCTATACTCCGTATATGATGTACTGAAGTGTAAAACGACGAAAACTGTCAAAATTTCATGTGATTTTTGTGCACGATTACAAGACTTCCTCTATACTATGTGTCATAACGTGGATAGGTAGAATTAGACTAGACTAGTAGAGGTTACTAAGGACGGTATAAACTTGACGGTAGACGATTTGGTTCGAGAGTATTATGCACGTGTTTAATAAAATATTTGTGGCGTGAGTGTGACGTGAGCGTGACGCGACAATGTTACCGATGACATAGGACGCAGGAGTGAAGACAGTTGGGGGTTAGCCATTGTAGGAAAAGGACGTGTTTTGATATAATATAGTACTAGCCGTCCCGGCCAGGCCCTGCTCTGGCTTCTGTGAAAAACCCTTCTGTTAAAGACCATCACCTGTGTGTTTAGTAATCATCATAAACCCGGCATTGCCCACCCAAACCACAACCAACCAAAACCAAAACCAAAACAACAAAACGCAAACATAACGCTAACACAATTACAAATACAAACGAAAACAAAAACTTAAACAAACCAACCACAACCACAAACACCAATACGAACACAAAGAAAAAAGCAAACGAAAACAAACCAAATCCAAACACAAAACCAACCACAAACACAAACACAAACCCAAAGAAAAAAAACAAACGAAAAAGCAAACGAAAACAAACCAAATACAAACGCAAAACCAACCACAAACCCAAAGAAAAAAAAACACAAAAGAAAAACAAACGAAAACAAACCAAATCCAAACGCAAAACCAACCTCAAACACAAATACAAACACAAACCCAATGAAAATAAAACACAAACGAAAACGAAAAAAGAAAGAACAAAAACGAACCAAATCAAAACGCAACCACTAACGCAAACCCAACCTAAACACAAAGAAAACACTAACGCGAATATAAACGCAAAGTGCTCACGGGGCTGAATCGCCTACTTCAACTTAATAAACGACTATAGTACCCCAACTTATTCATAGTCTTTTGCACTCACTTTAATGAACGTAGGCGCGAAACCGAACACGGGAGGCCCGGGACCCCAAAAAGCACCATGTCTGGGCGCCAGAGGACGCACCATGACGTCACCGCCTGATTGAACTTAGTAAACGCCTATAGTGCATAACTTATTTATAGTCTTTTGAACTCACGCGAACGTAGATACCATAGCGTACACCGGAAGGCCCGGGGCGCCAAATAGCACCCTGTCGGGGTGCCGGAGGACGCCCGGATTTGATTCACTTAAAGACTATAGTAACCTTTCTTATCCATAGTCTATCGCACTGTTTAAAACAAAATTATGCAGCATAGCGCTCACATGATAGCCCAGGGTGCCAAATCAAACCGTGCAGGGGCGCCGGCGGACGCGCCTGTTTCAATTTAGTGAACAAAAATGATAATACTCCAAGCTTATCCGTAAATGGAAAGAAATAAACGTATATGATTTGTAGGACCTGGCTTATTAAATGTTATTGATTTAAAAAAAAAAAATATTGAACAGTATGTTCAGTGTATAGAATAAATAAAAGGCAGTGTTAAAAATACCTAACGACATTGCACTTAATCAATCCCCGCTAATTGTGTAATTATTTTATTTTTTTCTTAACACCAAAAACAAAGTAATAAAATGTTAATTCTCTCTTCTTAAGGATTTATTTTTCATTAAAGGGAAGTAACTTTGCAGTCAATACATTTCCGACACAATTTTAGAAATTTTATAAACGTCGATGCACTTTTTAAAAATTTTATGTCGTGTTCATAATTGAAAATTATTCTTCTAAGTAAATAGAATGAAAATTGTTTTTAAAGACTTTCAATGGTAATTTTTCGACTCGTAAATTTAGACTTTGAGCACGATAAAAAATCTAACACTTAAATCCGTAGAAGTGTCAACGACAAACTTTTTTGTTTTTTGCCACACGTTACAGAACTGAGCTTTATATATTAGATTAGTGTTTGATAATAAAGTTAATTCTATTTCATAATCGAAGTTGTTAATATCGTTAATTAGTGTCGTCAGAAAATAAGAGTGTTCCCTCCTCCTCACACGTGTATAGTTGAAGAATAAGTTATAGGAGTAGTTATCGTATAGATTCATATAGCAGAACGTATACAAATATCCCCCCCCCCATCAGGAGAAAGTAAAAATTAGAATGATTACGTGAATTTTTAAGTTTTACACTTGCATACTTTAGGACAAAGGATGTATTGTAATGGTGCGAAAAATTGAATCAAGAGGTTTAAAATCTCGGCGTCTTACTCCTAGCTAAATCAGAATAAACGTTGTTTAGAAATATTGTCCGTGTATGCGTGTGTTTGTGTGTATTTAAACACGCCCATTTCAGGTAGGTGGTCAAAATTCACAAGTGGGTGTAAGCAACTTTCTTTCAACTTTTTAGATCTTTTTGGTAACTGGAAGTTGTACTCTACTTCCGGTTTCCCTAAACCTAACTGTTTAAGCTAGCTGTATGAAAGTTCACATAGAAGCATTAGATTGTATGCTCAGATTTTTATTCACTTTTGAATGATTTCCGCTTTTGTATAATTACATTGACTTTTCAAGCCTATTATAGGAGAAAACACTCTAGCATTATTTATATTTAGGGTAGTGAAACAAATCACTAGAATGTGTTTTAAACAATTAAATAGCCTGCGATCCAAGTGACTGCGAAATACAACTCGTAATATACTCATTAAGTTTTTTGACTACATCTATTTTAAATATTTTAGATCTGAACTGACAGAAATGTTGTCATAGTTACCGACAAAGACCTCTTGCTTTGTCCATATTAGTAGGATTGATAAACTCTTGAATAGTGAGCTCGTTTGATGTCATGCATTCGTTGATCTTTGGCTCAAGAATGGGTTGGCACTGTTCTAGCAGCTGCCGTTCTTCGGTTGTTAGCATTTCTTCGGACACTGGCGCCAGGGGAGGTGAGGCCCCTATTTCTGAGAAATGATTGAAAGTAACGAAAAACATTATGCAGGGCTGGGCCGGATGAGTTCAACGGTTCTGGGAAATTTCCGGAGGGGATTCCAGCTCTAGATTTGAATTTGCATTGTGAATTTTTTACTATCAAATTAAATTGTGCGCCTGGGTATGATGGAATGGAAACGGTAAAATTAAATTGTGCGCCTGGGTATGATGGAATGGAAACACCAACAGATTGTTTACAAAAATCAAATCAATAGCATGACCGTTACAGCACCATTATAGGTTAGGGTTTCAAAAAACAAACAAATTACTCATGGAATGTAACACAAAGTGTGTTAATTTACCGATTAAATTCCACAAAAACACTATATAATTTACACATGGAAGGTAACACAAAGTGTGATAATTTACCTAATTAGATTTGATTCGCTCAATTATAATGTACCTGTGTTGCTCATTATCACTTAACCATAATTGTGGTCGTTGGGGCACCGTAACGGTTGTTGACCTCATAATACTCCGTCTTCCATCTCGGTTCTTGGCCGCTCTGATAAGTTCTGAGACGGGCAAGCCCGTCTTGTCATTGATGACATTCATCAGGCCCCGTCTTGTCATTGATGACATTCATCAGGTGACGTCTTGTCATTTATGACATCAACCCAGTGACGTCTTGACATTGATGACATCCACCCAGTGACGTCTTGTCATTGATGACATTCACCGGCCCCGTCTTGTCATTGATGACATTCATCAGGTGACGTCTTGTCATTTATGACATCAACCCAGTGACGTCTTGACATTGATGACATCCACCCAGTGACGTCTTGTAATTGATGACATTCACCCAGTGACGTCTTGTAATTGATGACATCCACCCAGTGACGTCTTGCCATTGATGACATCCACCCAGTGACGTCTTGTAATTGATGACATCCACCCAGTGACGTCTTGTAATTGATGACATTCACCCAGTGACGTCTTGCCATTGATGACATTCACCCAGTGACGTCTTGTAATTGATGAGATCCACCCAGTGACGTCTTGTAATTGATGACATCCACCCAGTGACGTATTGACATTGATGACATCCACCCAGTGACGTCTTGTAATTGATGACATTCACCCAGTGACGTCTTGTAATTGATGACATTCACCCAGTGACGTCTTGTAATTGATGACATCCACCCAGTGACGTCTTGTAATTGATGACATTCACCCAGTGACGTCTTGCCATTGATGACATTCACCCAGTGACGTCTTGTAATTGATGACATCCACCCAGTGACGTCTTGTAATTGATGACATTCACCCAGTGACGTCTTGCCATTGATGACATTCACCCAGTGACTTCTTGCCATTGATGACATTCAACCAGTGACGTCTTGTAATTGATGACATTCACCCAGTGACGTCTTGTAATTGATGACATCCACCCAGTGACGTCTTGTAATTGATGACATCCACCCAGTGACGTCTTGTAATTGATGACATCCACCCAGTGACGTCTTGTAATTGATGACATTCACCCAGTGACGTCTAGTCTACCCCATCTTCTCCCTAATGGCACAGTGCCTTGCAATACTGTTTTGTTTAGGCCGTTTGATCTTGTGGCATGCCCATACCAAATCATGTTATCTTGTTTTGACTATGTCCAGTAGACTCAAAGTGACAATCGCGTATTGATTCTTTCACGGACTTTTTTAATTGTTACGTAATCTCTGGTTCTTCTAACCCTAGTCCTACGTGTCTATGTCTCGCATCCACCAAGACACACCAAAAAATGATCGCATGAGTTCATTTTTTGTTCCATTATTTGTGATAAATGTACCATCTATTTACTAATTCTATCAACTCGTATTCCCTGCCTTTCAATGCTATTTATGTCATCATCGAATCGTATGTTTAAACCGTTCGCCGATGCTTACTAAGCCGATATGATCTTCTAAAGCTTCAGTCCTGATCCTTTCTAGGTAGATAGTGAAAAGAAAGGGAGAAAGCAAGCAGACTTGCCTGACACCTTACTTTATTAATCTAAACCATTCGCCTCTAGTAGATTTGTCTTACTCAAATATAACGTACCTGTGTTACTCTAGTAGATTTGTCTTACTCAAATATAACGTACCTGTGTTACTCTAGTAGATTTGTCTTACTCAAATATAACGTACCTGTGTTACTCTAGTAGATTTGTCTTACTCAAATATAACGTACCTGTGTTACTCTAGTAGATTTGTCTTACTCAAATATAACGTACCTGTGTTACTCTAGTAGATTTGTCTTACTCAAATATAACGTACCTGTGTTACTCTAGTAGATTTGTCTTACTCAAATATAACGTACCTGTGTTACTCTAGTAGATTTGTCTTACTCAAATATAACGTACCTGTGTTACTCTAGTAGATTTGTCTTACTCAAATATAACGTACCTGTGTTACTCTAGTAGATTTGTCTTACTCAAATATAACGTACCTGTGTTACTCTAGTAGATTTGTCTTACTCAAATATAACGTACCTGTGTTACTCTAGTAGATTTGTCTTACTCAAATATAACGTACCTGTGTTACTCTAGTAGATTTGTCTTACTCAAATATAACGTACCTGTGTTACTCTAGTAGATTTGTCTTACTCAAATATAACGTACCTGTGTTACTCTAGTAGATTTGTCTTACTCAAATATAACGTACCTGTGTTACTCTAGTAGATTTGTCTTACTCAAATATAACGTACCTGTGTTACTAGATCGGACTGGCTCCTCTTGAATGGGTTTTTCGTCATTTGATGTTTCAGGCATTGGAGCCTTTCCACCTTCAGAAAACGTCATCATCAGTTTCAGTATTTAAACGTGTTTATAATAAAGCGAGAGTGATCTCAACAAAACCTTCTCGTATATTCTTATCTAACTGTATGAGGATGGCATTTCTAGTGCAATTGGGCTACTGAATTTTTTAATATTAACTATTTAATGTTGAATTTTTTAAAATTAATTATGTAATGCTGAATGTTTTTATAGGGTAGGCTCCGGAAAAAAACCAACTTCTTAATTAAAACGTTGTATTGATTTATTTCTGAATATTTAAGTTAGGGTACTTAAAGGAAAATATTTGCAAGAATCAGGGACTCTTTTGAAAATATGGTTGCCATGGCAACAGCGGCCATCTTGAAAAAAAAAACATGTCGTGGAGTTCTAAAATTTCATAAACTAACATATATATCGGCTGTATAACCATTGATTCTTCTTCCACTAACATTAATAGAGTCGGCTAGCTAATTTTTGTAACAGAAAACATTCGACAAATATTTTTTTGAATTTTCAAAATTTGATATGGTGAAATTTCATTGAAATTAATGCTAAATTTAATGGTTTTTCACCACACAAAAAATTTGAAAATTTGAAAATTTCTGTTACAAAAACTAGCCAGCTAACTCTATTTGTGTTAGTACAAAAAGGATCAATGATTATATGTGCGGTTTATGTGTTACTTTATAAAATTTTAGAAATCCACAAAAGGTAGTTTTTCCAAGATGGCCGCCGTTGCCATGGTAACCATATTTTCAGTAGAGTCCCTGGTACATGCAAATATTTTCCCTTAAGTACCCTAACGTATAAATACACAAATAAATAAATAAAGGCTTAGTAATTAAAAAGTTTTTTGCGCGTTTTTTTTTTTCGGAGCCTACCCCCTTAAATTAATTATTTAATGCTGAATATTTTAAAATTAATTATTTAATGCTGAATTTTTTGAAATAGAAGGAGTCGACTAGAAAAAAGAAGTGTGCACCAATTGAACACAAACAATGTGTGCATAATAGAGCGGAAAATTAGTGCTTTATAAAAGTAACATTAAAATAGTAATTAAACATCTAATTAGCTGACATTTTATGTTATAGTTCAGTGTCATCGAGTCTTTACCTACGTGAAAGATTTGAAACAAATCAGACAGGGACTACTTCCGGTCACTCAAATTTTGACAAAAATCAAGAGAATAAGCTCTTAAACTTACTTATACAATTTCTTTCATCTAACTGATACGGTACGTATGTTATCTGTATTTTAGTAGCCGGAAATAAAGTAAAGTACAACTTTCGTATATCGGAAGTCACTCAAACTTTGACAGTAATCCAACTATACGATTTATATATGAAATAATTTCTTCTGCCTAATTGAACCAGTATTCAAATTATCGTGTTTAGAAGGAAATGAAGAAGCACCGTAATTCCGGTTACAGGAAATCGTATATAAGTTAAAAGATACTTTCGTATACAATATAATACATATATTTTATTTATACACACACACACACATATATATATATATATATATATATATATATATATATATATAAAATTTATATATGTATATATATATATATATATATATATATATATATATATATATATATAATACTTATAAAAACATTTCTATAGCCAGATTGCACTGAAAGTGCCTTCAAACTTACTGTTATAAAGAATATAAGAGATAGTTCAGGAAAACCACTACCGCTTTATATCTGTTTAATTGGAATATGTTACTATAAAGACGGTGAATATAACTAATAACAGACAGTCAGAGAGAGACTGAGAGAGAAAGAGAGAGAGAGAGAGAGAGAGAGATCAGCAGACTCCGATATCAATAGAAATAATGACGAAATTGTTTTTAAATTTTTAACAGAAGGCGTCATTGGAGGGGTGCGGGGATCCGTAGTGGGTTACATCCGGGTATAAAGACGCTATTGTAACTCAGAGCTTAAAGACGCCATTGTAACTCAGAGCTTAAAGACGCCACTGTAACTCAGAGCTTAAAGACGCCACTCTAACTCAGAGCTTAAAGACGCCATTGTAACTCACCATTAGTTCGAATGTGTTGACATACAAGTCCCATCATCTTTAAAATGGAGTTGATCATTTTTCTTGCCGTGACCTCTCCACATGATGTGTCCAGCCGTGTAATGCACTGACCAACAGATGCGTCGTTTCTGAATACAAATTCAAGATCACCAAAATTACATCAGCTAACCCCAACCACTGCTATTTGTTGTTTCTAATTAAATTTGGCTTGCTAATAGAATAATAGCCACGGGGCTATAGTATTTAACTGTAGTATATTATGTATGAGTCTAGTCATGACATCCACACTCATCATTTAAAATCTACATTGTCTTAGGCTTTGATACAAAATAATGACGAAGGCCTTCTATGGTTTGGTTGCACGATCCATCAAAGCCTAGGTCTTCAATTGTTTTTAAACTTATGTTTCAGTTCTTTGAAATGTTAAAAAAAGTTTTTAAAGATAGTAAATATTTTAGAAAATTGCCGCGGTCAATGTCCCCCTACATCCCCCATACATCCTCCTACACCCTCCCCCTACACCCCCCCTCGATTTAATTCATATATTTTATATGCAATTTTTTAATATAAGTATTTTGTTGTTAAAGTTAACATGTGGACGTCTACATTGACCCGAACACCCCCTCCCCCGTCTACATTGACACGAACACCCCCCCTCCCCCGTCTACATTGACACGAACACCCCCCCCCCCCCTCCCCCGTCCACACGCGTCCACAAAAGTCGATTGACTTACTGGCAAATAACCCGAGCCTTATTGATATATTCAGGGTTCATAAACTGCTGGAGCGTAATGTCGTAGAGCCCGAGGCACTCGTCCAACTTGGGTTGGAGCACCGATTGGCATTTCTCTACCTGCAGTAATTCATCAGGCCTGGTACCGACTGCCTGAGCCTGGGCTGATGATGAGTCTTTGACTGAAACTTTAATAATTTCTTTGTTACGCGCTAGCTCAGCTCTTATTTATTACATGCGAAGTTAATTCTTTCTTACATGCTAAGTTAATTATTTCTTACATGCGAAGTTAATTCTTTCTTACATGCGAAGTTAATTCTTTCTTACATGCGAAGTTAATTCTTTCTTACATGCGAAGTTAATTCTTTCTTACATGCGAAGCTAATTCTTTCTTACATGCGAAGTTAATTCTTTCTTACATGCGAAGCTAATTCTTTCTTACATGCGAAGTTAATTATTTCTTACATGCGAAGCTAATTCTTTCTTACAAGCGAAGTTAATTCTTTCTTACATGCGAAGCTAATTCTTTCTTACATGCGAAGTTCATTCTTTCTTACATGCGAAGTTAATTCTTTCTTACATGCGAAGTTACCATATTTTTACAAGCTAGTGCTTTGTAAGACATTACAGTTTGCTGCCAGACTAGTGCAATTTTAGTTGATCATTTTTTATAGAGCCCGGTGAATTTTTAGATACAAAATACAAAAAAAAACCCATCGCATCTTGAGTAAACTAAACTGAGTAAAATCCCGAATAAATTGAGTGAAACAAACTGCTTATATAGCCAGACGGTTTGTTTCTGTGAAATATGTATAGCATGAAGAAAATAAGGGACTCAACAGTATGTAGTATTTTGTTAGAATTGAATCGAATCAAGTACCTGATTGTAAATCCTCTTTGACACCTTGTAGTTGATTCTGGTTGTTTTTGGACTGTAACGGTCCGTCGTTCCTGAAAAATACACACATGAGAGCATGTGTGTACACGGTCGTTTGTTTAAAGCCATTTGATAAAGCGTTTACGTTTGTGTTTTCTTTTGATGTGTTTGTGTTTTTGATTTGTTTGTGTTTGTGATTTGTCTGATTCAGTTTAGTTGGATCGTATTTATCGGGGCACGGGTTTACCTACACTACCGCCAAAAAAGCCAGGGGCGCCAAATCGCACCCTGCCGGGGTGCCGGTGGACTCGCCTGATTAAATGTATTGAACGGCCATAATGCCCCATTTTAACCATAGTCTTTTGCACTGTTTAAAGCGCCGTAGCGCTCATGGGAAAGACCGGAGGCCAAGTCGCACCCTACCGGGAGCCGCCGGTGCGAAATTGGATTTGTTTGTAGAAACCTTCTGGAGAGTATCTTGATCAACATTCATTACGCCCAGCAAGCTCCAGATTGTGCTATATGAAAGTCTTGAGTGATCAACATTCATTACGCCCAGCAAGCTCCAGATTGTGCTATATGAAAGTCTTGAGTGATCAACATTCATTACGCCCAGCAAGCTCCAGATTGTGCTATATGAAAGTCTTGAGTGATCAACATTCATTACGCCCAGCAAGCTCCAGATTGTGCTATATGAAAGTCTTGAGTGATCAACATTCATTACGCCCAGCAAGCTCCAGATTGTGCTATATGAAAGTCTTGAGTGATCAACATTCATTACGCCCAGCAAGCTCCATATTGTGCTATATGAAAGTCTTGAGTGATCAACATTCATTACGCCCAGCAAGCTCCAGATTGTGCTATATGAAAGTCTTGAGTGATCAACATTCATTACGCCCAGCAAGCTCCAGATTGTGCTATATGAAAGTCTTGAGTGATCAACATTCATTACGCCCAGCAAGCTCCAGATTGTGCTATATGAAAGTCTTGAGTGATCAACATTCATTACGCCCAGCAAGCTCCATATTGTGCTATATGAAAGTCTTGAGTGATCAACATTCATTACGCCCAGCAAGCTCCAGATTGTGCTATATGAAAGTCTTGAGTGATCAACATTCATTACGCCCAGCAAGCTCCAGATTGTGCTATATGAAAGTCTTGAGTGATCAACATTCATTACGCCCAGCAAGCTCCAGATTGTGCTATATGAAAGTCTTGAGTGATCAACATTCATTACGCCCAGCAAGCTCCAGATTGTGCTATATGAAAGTCTTGAGTGATCAACATTCATTACGCCCAGCAAGCTCCATATTGTGCTATATGAAAGTCTTGAGTGATCAACATTCATTACGCCCAGCAAGCTCCAGATTGTGCTATATGAAAGTCTTGAGTGATCAACATTCATTACGCCCAGCAAGCTCCAGATTGTGCTATATGAAAGTCTTGAGTGATCAACATTCATTACGCCCAGCAAGCTCCAGATTGTGCTATATGAAAGTCTTGAGTGATCAACATTCATTACGCCCAGCAAGCTCCAGATTGTGCTATATGAAAGTCTTGAGTGATCAACATTCATTACGCCCAGCAAGCTCCAGATTGTGCTATATGAAAGTCTTGAGTGTACGTTAATCAATCATCGTAATAGTAAGATAGAACACACTACGGCGACCGCCCAGTTGCGCTACCGGAGACCCCGATTACACAACCTCAGGGGCGCCGCGTATGTCTTCTGACTCAGTTTAATAATCGAATGCTGTGTGCCATAGTATTAATATTGTTGGTTGTTCCTTAAAGTTAACGTAGGCGCAATAGTGCTATATGGATAGCCGGGGTGCCGGCGGGTAATCCTGATTCAATTTAGTGAGTGACCATACTATCACATCTTGTCCTTAGTTTATCGCACTGATTAAAACGAACGTAGGTGCCATAGCACTCACGGGAAAGTCCGTGGCGCCAAATCGCACCCAGCCGGGGCGCCACCCCTGCGACTTTTAAATAGTTTTTTGAAATAGTATTCTCAATATCTTCCCAAAGTTTCATGGCGACAGGATAAAAGGTGGAGTAATGTATAAAAGACAAAGAAATAAACATACAAACACACTCATACATATATTTCTTTTTATATATAAGATAGGTTTGCATATATTATATATATATATATATATATATATATATATATATATATATATATATATATATATATATATATATATATATATATATATATATATATATATATATATATATATATATATATATATATATATATATATATGGGGGGGGGCTTATTTTCTTTCATTAAAAATCTTACCTGGTTATAGGTTTGTATTGATCCATCATTTGCTGAAAAAGAATAAAATTCAGTTGGATTTAGCACATATCTTCTCCCCTTCTATCCTTAAAGACATACCACTCCCCCCCCCCCCCACCCCGTTGCTTAGCTTCTGCGAACTAGCCCCCATTTGTTAATACCTCTTCAATCTTCACACACTGCCCCACAAAACATAACCCTCCACCACACACTGAACTCTCCGCCCCACAAAACATAACCCTCCACCCCTCACACTGAACTCTCCGCCCCACAAAACATAACCCTCCACCCCACACACTGAACTCTCCGCCCCACAAAACATAACCCTCCACCCCTCACACTGAACTCTCCGCCCCACAAAACATAACCCTCCACCCCACACACTGAACTCTCCGCCCCACAAAACATAACCCTCCACCCCTCACACTACAACGCACTTTTCTTTAAAATGCATTTGATACATAACATTGGTAAATTGGAGAAACATGACACTTAATTAATGTCAATGCATTATATAACATTCTTGATAAGGGTTAGGGTACAAAGTAAAACATGTTTTCTATTTTCTCAAGGCATTCTATAAAAAAAATTATTAATGACCTTTATACTAATAAGCTTTTAAATGCATTGAAAATTGAAAAATAATACTTATTAGTTATTTTCAAAAATATGCATTGGTAGCCAAAACCTGTAGGAGATTTTATGAACGACCAATGCTTTTTTTTATTAAAGTCGTGTTACTTGATAAAATGCCATAGCTAGCATTTGTCTTTCTCGAATGGAGCTTCTAGCATCATTTCTAAAGCCAGGAAACTGTTGCATATTGAAAGGATCCAAATCCCATGGGGTTCGAGCCTCGGGAACTCCTGCCAAAAAAAAAAGCCTTACATTCCAATACGTTTTTGTGTTAGACTAATTTGGTCAGACAACAATACATCAGACAACAATACTACATCAGACAATAATATTAGCATCAGACAACAATACTACATCAGACAACAATACTACATCAGACAACAATACATCAGACAACAATACATCAGACAACAATACATCAGACAACAATACTACATCAGACGACAATACTACATCAGACAACAATACTACATCAGACAACAATACATCAGACAACAATACTACATCAGACGACAATACTACATCAGACAACAATACTACATCAGACAACAATACTACATCAGACAACAATACATCAGACAACAATACATCAGACAACAATACTACATCAGACAATAATACTACATCAGACAACAATACTACATCAGACAACAATACTACATCAGACAACAATACATCAGACAACAATACTACATCAGACAATAATACTACATCAGACAACAATACTGCATCAGACAATAATATTACATCAGACAACAATACTTCAGACAACAATACATCAGACAACAATACATCAGACAACAATACTACATCAGACGACAATACTACATCAGACAACAATACTACATCAGACAACAATACATCAGATAACAATACATCAGACAACAATACTACATCAGACAATAATACATCAGAAAACAACACTACATCAGACAATAATACTACATCAGACAACAATACATCAGACAACAATACATCAGACAACAATACATCAGACAACAATACTACATCAGACGACAATACTACATCAGACAACAATATTAGCATTAGACAACAATACTACATCAGACAACAATACTACATCAGACAATAATACTACATCAGACAATAATACTGCATCAGACAACAATATTAGCATTAGACAACAATACTACATCAGACAACAATACTACATCAGACAACAGTACATCAGACAACAATACTACATCAGACAACAATACTACATCAGACAACAATACATCAGACAACAATAATACATCAGACAATAATACTACATCAGACAACAATATTAGCATTAGACAACAATAGTACATCAGACAACAATACTACATCAGACAACAATACTACATCAGACAACATCATTACATTGTACGTTATAACAGATGGTATTACCTTGTCTTGGCATGTAGCTGTACTGATTGCTTTGCATTTGATCGCTCTTTAATCGATGGAATAGATTTTGCTCGGGCTGTATGGTGCTGTTAGTTGATTAAGAGGATATCAGTTATGTAAAGCAGCTTTATAAAATGTTGAACCTTGTTGATGAACAACAGGTTCTCCATGACTAAATTAAATATCCTTGGGCAAATTAACACAGGGTTAACCCTAACACTTTCAGACTAAGTGATTGAATGTAGAAAATGTTTTAATACTAACTGAATTAATAAACAAAATGTCAGAGTTACTAAGAAAATTCACAGAAAATATTCTCCAGTTTGAAATATTTTAAAGAAGTTAACAGAGAAAATATCTTTAACGTTGATTCAATCAATTCATTATTTTTAAATTGGACCAAGAGTGTGTCGTATCTTCAAATAGCTATTTATAAATGTCAAAGAAATAAGTTTATCTCTGAAGCAATACAATGATGACATGAATCAATATATAAGTGTTATAGTGAAGCTACCTGTAAGGGTTGGTATTACCAGCTCCTTTTCTCTGCAATTCTTCTTGCATCGACTGTAGCATTGCCGGTGTGAGCTGACCTAATCAAATTTTTTGCGAGTTAGAGCTGTTTTGTTGAATCAAGTTGTAACTGTAGTTAGTGTTATCGTTAGCCATGGCTTTCAATAACCTCTGAGTTATCGATGTGATTAATATCCTTTTTGGGTTTTGGTTGTGATTGGTTACTATGTTACTATTTGTTAGGGTTACGATTGTGATTGGTTACTATGTTACTATTTGTTAGGGTTACGATTGTGATTGGTTACTATGTTACTATTTGTTAGGGTTACGATTGTGATTGGTTACTATGTTACTATTTGTTAGGGTTACGATTGTGATTGGTTACTATGTTACTATTTGTTAGGGTTACGATTGTGATTGGTTACTATGTTACTATTTGTTAGGGTTACGATTGTGATTGGTTACTATGTTACTATTTGTTAGGGTTACGATTGTGATTGGTTACTATGTTACTATTTGTTAGGGTTACGATTGTGATTGGTTACTATGTTACTATTTGTTAGGGTTACGATTGTGATTGGTTACTATGTTACTATTTGTTAGGGTTACGATTGTGATTGGTTACTATGTTACTATTTGTTAGGGTTACGATTGTGATTGGTTACTATGTTACTATTTGTTAGGGTTAAAATTGTGATTGGTTACTATGTTACTATTTGTTAGGGTTACGATTGTGATTGGTTACTATGTTACTATTTGTTAGGGTTACGATTGTGATTGGTTACTATGTTACTATTTGTTAGGGTAACGATTGTGATTGGTTACTATGTTACTATTTGTTAGGGTTACGATTGTGATTGGTTACTATGTTACTATTTGTTAGGGTTACGATTGTGATTGGTTACTATGTTACTATTTGTTAGGGTTACGATTGTGATTGGTTACTATGTTACTATTTGTTAGGGTTACGATTGTGATTGGTTACTATGTTACTATTTGTTAGGGTTACGATTGTGATTGGTTACTATGTTACTATTTGTTAGGGTTTCGGTTGTGATTGGTTACTATGTTACTATTTGTTAGGGTTACGATTGTGATTGGTTACTATGTTACTATTTGTTAGGGTTACGATTGTGATTGGTTACTATGTTACTATTTGTTAGGGTTACGATTGTGATTAAGTGCCACTTCCCCAACCCTTGACTGGATATTGCTGTAAGAATTAATCTCAATAACTCGCAGTCCCTCTCTTCTGTAAGTCGCTTACATACTAGGTGCATCTTTGTTTGACTTAGGGTTTGATGGTCCCTCTGTGTTTGGCTTAGAGTGTGGTGGTCTCTCTGTATCTGGTTTAGGGTTTGGTGGTCTCTCTGTATCTGGCTTAGGGTTTAGTGGTCCCTCTTTGTTTGGCTTAGGGTTTAGTGATCCCTCTTTGTTTGGCTTAGAGTTTGAATGGCTACATGATTACAGAACCAGCAATTCATTTCTTAACTCTACTAATTCTTAACAGACCCATGAACCCATCTCTTAATTTTATTGATTTTTTTAAAATTTGCAACAAATTAATATTTAACTTAATCTAGCTTAGTGACTTTAATTCAACTCTTTTATTAATAATATGAAAATCTATAACAAAATAGTAAAACAAAAAGCCTTCGACCATACCAGCAATAAATCAGCCATATCAACAACCAAACCATTAATACTTTCAAACGATCAACAAAATGGCGACAAAATCATAACCAAATCCAGCAACCAAACACAGACATCAAAAGTAATTTCTAATTTTAGACGGACTTAAACTATGTTCATTTAATGATAAGCCTTACCGGTTTCGTCAAAAAGCTAGTTACCATAGACATCAAAATAATAAAAACTGCAAGCTATTGCAGCAAAAGGAATGTTTAGGGCAGAAATAGCCACATTTTAACATAGAAATAGTAGCATACTCAGGGGTGAGTAGGGGGTGCTCCATGTGGGGCCATTTTTTACCAGGTTGCGCCTTTCTGTAAACTTATGTGAATAAAATTGTAAACCATCATATTGGTCAGAATTAAATTTTTGTTTTACACATTGATGTACATCGCGTCCCTACAACATTTTTTTCCATGCAGCATTTAAGTGTTTCATACTAGACTATTGTTAAATCAAGACTCCATGTATGTAGTGTCCCTAAGTTTACTACACGATGTTCTATCGTTGGTTTTGACTAGTTGGGTTTTATCCTATGGTTATCAAACTAGCTATATTGCGACTAATACAAGAGAGGGGATTATAGTTCATTAGTTAAGAAATTATTAAAAGGAAATAAAACAAGTAAAGACGTAATATTCAGGGTGGGAAGAGTCAGATATTTCAAATCACCAACAAACATAATCTGCACGCCTTCAGTTTCATCAACAACACAACCAGAGCTAAAAGTGTCTAAATGTACCCGTGCACAAAACATACATTCCACCGCATCAACTGATATCCAGAATCAAGTCGTCGAGACTCAAGGCAATAAGGCAGTAGCCACAGGCGTTCTAGAAGATTACCATGTAGAAGGCAGTCTTGATAGATTCGTGCCAGTCAAACTTTTACCTCGAATTACGTCACAGGTTAGATCACGGCTAAAAGGGTCGACATTGAATTACGTATTTTTTCCTTCCCATTGTATTAACAAATGCCTACGTATTTTTTCCTTCCCATTGTATTAACAAATGCCTACGTAT